AACTATTTTTATAAAAACTATTAATATGACAAAATTTATTTAATCATCTTCCTAATCCCTTTTCATTATTTCGGAAAAAAAAAAAAAAAAAATCCCTTTTCATTGATAAAATGAGAAACGATACATATACACAATCATATCCTAATGTATCTAAATTTGTAATTTTTCGTTTTCGTTTTTTTTTTTTTGAATTTTTCAACAATTTATTAAATAAAACATCGGATATAATAATTAATAAATTTTTTTATTAAAAAAAATCATAATAAATAGATAAATAGATTTCTTTTTATTAAAATACTCATAATAAATAGATAAATAGGTAATTTGTGTTAGAGTTTTATAGAAACTCTTTAAATATATCTTTGTCTAATGTGATAGATTTTTATTGAAAATAAAATAGATAATTTTTAATAGAGTTTTATAGAAATTATTTTATTTTTTATAAATATATCTTTGTCTAATTAGATTTAATTTTATTAAGAAACTCATAATAAAAGTTAATTTGTGGTAGAGTTTTAGAAAAATTATTTTATTTTATATATTAATTAATAAATATTTTATATATTAATAATTCTTGTCTAATTAGATTTTTTTTTAAAAAAATTCATAATAATAAATAGATAAATAGGTTAATTTAAATTTTATTAGTTAGATTTTAGAGTTGTATAGTGTTTTTTTTATTTTATAAAAACTAATTTTTATTAAAAAACTCATAATAAATAGATTTTCTTTTATTAAAAAACTCATAATAAATAGATAATTTGTATTAGAGTTTTATATAAACTCTTTAAAAACCTCTTTTTATATCAATTAATAAATAATAGTTTATATTAATAATACTTGTCATTAGATTTCTTTTTATTAAAAAAAACCCATAATAAATAGATAAATATATAATTTGTGTTACAGTTTTATAGAAACTCTTTAAATATATCTTTATCTACTGTGATAGGGTTTTATTGCAAATAAAATAGCTAATTTGTGATAGAGTTTTATAGAAATTATTTTATTTTTTATAAATATATCTTTGTCTAATTAGATTTAATTTTATTAAGAAACTTATAATAAAAGCTAATTTGTGATAAAGTTTTAGAAAAATTATTTTATTTTATATATCAATTAATAAATATTTTATATATTAATAATTCTTGTCTAATTAGATTTTCTTTTATTAAAAAATTCATAATAATAATAAATAGATAAAAAGGTTAATTTAAATTTTATTAGTTAGATTTTAGAGTTGTATAGAGTTTTTTTTTTTTTTTTTTATAAAAACTTTTTTAATATCAATTAATAAATATTTTTTTTATATAAATAAATAAATACTGAAACTCTTTGCATATTTAATAATTGTATAGATAAAACCGCTTTTTATATCAATTAATAAATATTTTTTTATATAAATAAATAAATACTAAAACTCTTTGGTAGAGCTTATGTATTTTCTTCTATAATTCTAGAATTCTCAATTTCTGTACCCCTTCTCCTTTCTCCCTACCTCTATTTATAGGCTTCTTGGATTAATAAGATGATAACATGTGTCCTCTCCTGATAATGACATTATTATAACTGGGCCGGACCGGTTATATTGTGATAATTATCCATAAAAAATAACTTTTATTTTTATATCTATTTTTTATTATAAATAAATAAATACTGAAACACTGAAACTCTTTGCACATTTAATAATAGTATAGATAAGATTTTAATATAAATAAATAAATACTGAAACTCTTTGCACATTTAATAGTAATATATATATATATATATATATATATATATATATATTGTAAGGAAAATGATAGGGACACTGAATAATAATCCCCGAATAGGCAACAAATTCGATATGATTTTGCCACTTAAGACTCTTTAAACATTCTACTTGTATTAAACATCCCACATATATAAAACATCATTTTTCTTACTTTACATGTTAAAATTCAAGGGCAAAAAATGTTGGTTGAATATAGTGGAAAGAGAAGGTTGGGTTTCCTGTTATTGCCATTGCCATTGCCATCACCATCACCATCACAGTAGGTTTACCCATGTATATACATATTTTTATATATGGATGTTCTCTATCTCCATACTTTACTAGGACCAATTTTGAAACCCTAGTTTGATTTACTTTTACTCAGTTTAAGTTCAAGATCTATTACTTCGATTTGAACATTATGCAGAGCTTAATTTTGAATTAGTAAGCTCCAATTTGACTCTAAAACTTTATTGTGAATAATCTTCACACAGAGAGAGAGAGAGAGAGGTCGAGTAAATTTTCAGGGAGAGAAAATGAATAAAATTTAAGTCCCTAATCGTAGAGAAAAACTGAAGAGAATTTGAAAAAGATAGGTAAATTTATAGAGACAGAAAGTGAATTTCAGACCCATTTTTAGATAGAGAAAATAAAGAAATTTTAGGGAAGAGAGAGAGTGTGTGAAGGGTCTTGGATTGAAGATAAGGTTCAATAGTGAAGGTATATATATCTTTATATTTATTGAACACATTTTTCTTTTTTGAAAACTGTTTAAGTAGATAGCGTATCAAAGACACTCAAATTCGGTGCCTATTTAGGAAATTTTGTTCGATTTTCCTATCACTACTCTTTATAGAATTAGTGTCAAGTTATTCATGAATAATTTGGTTATTTGTTTAGCTTTAAGCATGCTCAACATTATTCTTAGAAAAAAAAATGTTTTATTATATGAAATACTTCATCCAATTTGAGATTGATGAAACAAATGAGTAATTTAAGTTGTTTATTGATTTACAAAGAAGTAAGAGGAATACAACTAGATACTATCTATTGCAAAAAAAAAAGGGTAATGACTTTGATTTGACCATGTATAGATCCAAAATAGCCAATGGCCAATCTGGTAAAAGGTACGAAAAAGTGGATGAAAGTCAAAGAGGGTGGATGAAAGAAGCATCCTATTTAAAGGGAAATAAATCATCTTCGGTGCTATAGGACATATGTCTCATATGTCTCAGCCGGTGAGTAAATTACAAAAGTAAAAATAGAGAAGGCAAAAATTTAAAAGGCAACAAAGTAGTAGGATACAATATAATATTTGTTTATTGGCTATTATAGTTATACATATGGGTCCATTAGACAACAATTGAGCTGTATTTGAAATTTTAAACCCCGTGTTTTTTTCATTTTCTTCATTTCAAATGTTCAATTTTTCTCTCTACACAATCACAAGAGAAAAGTGATCACAGAGTTATTATTGTGATCCATTTCTTTCTCTTCACAAACTACAAGCTAAACTTGTGGACCGTTTGATTCTCTTCTTTGGATCTGGAACCATGGGAATTTGAAGGCAAAGTTGAGGAATTTTGTAAAGATTTTCATGCAACACATTTACAACTATATTAGGTATGTTTTTTAGTTTTAATTTTTGAACTCTATTAAATGTTCTATCTATTATTTTGCCCTAACAAAAGTTGGGTATAATATTTGCTATCGACTATTGATTCTAAATACTTGTATGAATTCATATAGTGAAATAAAGTAAAATATGGGATTTTGTATACATATCATTGGGTAGGCATGTTAAGAACAAAGTTGGGATGTAGTACTCTTGGACATGGGGATTATTTACATTAACATGTTGGGATGTGCACTTAATATACTTTTTTGGATTATTCATTTCAAATCAGTTCTTCCCTTTTTTGCATTGTATAGTTATAAATGTTAGATTTTTTTGAAGAGATAGGTGCATCAATTTGTATGTTGAAATATATATTTCATTACTCAGACATGTTAGAACATAGCTGGGATATGGTAGTCTTAGAGATGGGGATTATTCACATTGATATGTTGGGACGTCGTCTTCATACACTTTTTGGAAATATTCAATTCAAATCATTTCTTCCTTTTTTTGCATTGTATAATTATAAATGTTAGATTTTTTTTGAAGAGATGCGTGTATAAATTCATATGTTGAAATGAAGTTTTTTTTTTTTTTTTTTTTTTTTTTAAACAAAAAAAAAAAAGCAAAAGTGATTTTGTATATATTTCATTGCTAATAGAGTTAGCATGTGGTAATCTTAGAGATGGAGATTATTTACACTAACATGTTGGGACATCCACTTCATACACTTTTTGGGATTATTTAATTCAAATACATTCTTCCTTTTTTGCATTATATCCTTATACATGTTAGATTTTTTTTTCTTTTTTTATGAAGAGATATGTGTATCAATTCATATATTGAAATGAAGTAAAAAAAAAAAAAAAAAAAAAAAAGGATTTTGTATATATTTCATTGCTCATGCATGTTAGAACTGAGTTGGGATGTAGTAGTCTTAGAGATGGGGAGTATTCACACTGACATGTTGGGACGCCCACTTCATACACTTTTTGGAATTATTCAATTCAAATCAGTTCTTCTCTTTTTTTGCGTTGCATAATTATAAATGTTAGATTTTTTTTTTTTTTCAAGAGATACGTATATCAATTCATATGTTGAAATAAAGTTTTTTTTTTAAAAGTGATTTTGTATATATTTCATTGCTCAGGCATATTACAACAGAGTTGGGATGTTGTGGTCTTAAACATTGGGATTATTCACATTAACCCATTGGGACGTGTACTTCATATACTTTTTTAGATTATTCAATTCAAATCAATTTTTCCCTTTTTTGTATTCTATAGTTAAAAATGTAATATTTTTTGAAGAGATGTTTTATGTAGTTCATTGCTGATACATTACCAAACTAAGTTAGGATGTGCAACTCTTACATGATCATTGGTGTTCCTATATTTTAAATTTAAGTTATTCCATTATCTTTTCTATTTTTCATTGTATACCTGCAACAAGTTAGAAAGAGGATTGGAATTGGTTTGAATTTCATGACTGACACATTATGTTACTTGAATTATATTGTAGGTGCAAAAATTAACTCATTCTGATGGAAGATGAAATTATAAATATTGAAAACACAACAAATGCTCTAATTATAGAGCCCAAGTAATTAAATGGAAACCAAAGCTTGCGATGGAGTTTGATACGGAACATGAGGCATACGGTTTTTATAATATATATGGGGATAGACTTGGATTTAGCATCCAGAAGGAGTATTTTAATAATAGCCGTAAAACTGGGAAATTTTTAATGAGGTTGTTTACTTGTTGCAAGGAGGGTGCCGGGAAGAATGACAGAAAGGACATACATACAAAGATTCCACGATCTGAAACAATAATTGGTTGGGGTGCACGAATGCATATTAAATATAATGAACTAAATGGAAAATACTTAGTTGATAATTTTGTAGAAAGTCATAACCATCCCTTGATAATTGATGAATGCACACACATGATGTCATCACAGAGATGTATTTCTAGCGTCCAGGCCATTGATGTGGAGTTGGCTTCAAATTCAGGAATTGCACCTCGTAATTCATATGAGTTAATGGCAAAGCAAGTTGGTTGCAGAGAATCAGTTGGATACATTAAACTGGACCAATAAAATTATATAAGGAATCGAAGACAAAATTAGCTTCAATATGGTGGGGCAGTATGGCTCACGAATTATTTTGTCAGTCATGCTTGTGATGATCCTTCATTTTTCTATGCCTTACAGTTGGATAGATAATAACCAATATATTTTGGGCGGATCCTAAAATAATAACTGAAATATATTTTGGGCAGATCCTAAAATGATAACTGATAATGGCCATTTTGGAGATGTTGTAAGTTTCGACACTATGTACAAACTTGTACATTGCAACCGTCCATTTGCATTGTTTTTGGATGTTAATCAACATCGGGAGACCGCTATAATCGGGGCAGCCCTGATGTATGATGAGACGGCAGATTCGTTAATGTGGTTGTTTGATTCTTTTTCGAAAGGGATGTTTGGAAAAACACCAAAGACAATTCTGACTAATCAAGATGCAGCAATGGCAAAGGCTTTGATGCAACTAATTTTCATTTAATGAAACATATGAGACATGATTAATATTAGCAAATAAAGTCAGTCATAAAATGAAGTACGTAGTGTAAATAAATCAATCTATTAATCTATACTTGCAAGAAAATCACGCATCCAATGTACATTTGTTTCCCATCTCCATCTTCAGGGGTTTTCAATGATTTCACAAAAAAAATTACGAACATAGGTGCACCAATTGTAAGATGTAATTGTGTTCACATCGTCAGCAACTTTCCACAAGCCTACGTGTGCATGATATTGTCTATTCGAAAAGAATACAATTGCACAAGCAAATAGTACAAAGGCTCTCTTGAAATCTTTGACAGCCTCCAAATTCTTCACCCTATCCATTAGTTAGTTCACATGCATTTCTTTATCATTGCGATAGCCACCTTCGTCTACCCAATGAATGAAAATATTTAGAAATAGGCACTGGAATAATGTCAGTAGGTATGACAAGAATGGATTGGACATCAATTGCATTAATAAACAGATACACATTCTTCTCCTGAAGTCTAATCCGACATTTTTGGCCTTTAAAATTTTCCAAATAAGTAATTGAAGAGTGTAGTTGACAAAAATGAACATTTGAGGTTCAACATATTGCCAAAACCAATCTCCTCAACATTTTTTCTCTCTTCCTCGTTAAGATTGGATACTGCTTCAGTGAATTTCGACAGAGAGCATAAATGCCACCCAGTTTTTATTTTCAACTCTTCATTCTAAATCAAAAAAGAAATTTGTATTAAGAGTCAGGCATAATATGTCTTCAAACATAATGACATCTCAGTTAAAACATTACCTTATTTTTTTGAAATATTACTCGTTTCATCCCAGACATTTTGAACTCTCTGTCACATCTCTTTATCTCGCCATAATAAGGGTCCTTTTGGATAGTCTTCATTGAATTCCACACCTTACTGGCTTTCTTCTTAATTGCAAATTTTAATTTTTTGTCAATTCTTCCAGTTAAATCATGCTCTATTCGGAACTTCTTAATGTATCCAGCCCTATTATGTAAAATTTCATCATTTCAAAAGATATCAGTTCAATTATTTTATGCATATTATTAATCAACACACGTTTTTTGCATGATTCAAGGTAAATGTATTATAATTTTTGGATCACCAAAAAAAATTAAAACATGCAGACATGAGATATATGGTACACATCTACATTTACCATCCTCAAGGCAACACAACCACAAAAGAAACTAAAAAATATAATAAATGTGAATGTGATCATTAATTTATACTTATTGGAACAAAAGAAAGACTCCCCCAAGTGGACGGACCTCCTTTTTCTTTGCTGCACCTTTCGGAGAGCTAGTACTGTTGATGTCTCCCTCATCCCCCCTTCTTGAACTTTCACCAACCTCCAGACGATTAAACGGGTAATGGGGATGTTTTTTTAGGTTCAAATAGGCTAAGTAGTATTATTTCGGGCAGATTTTTTCTTCCCTGTCCTTGCAATTTCTTTACCTATCATCTTCTTACCCATTACAACCCAAAAAGACAAGGTTTTTCAATTTGTAATAAGAGGTAAAATTAATCTAAAAAAAAAGCATATGGAAAAGGTATGACTACTTCTATATTTGCATAAATCGAAGATGTTCATTTTGTATGTAGACGAATCTCCTACCTGTGGTACGTACATATTTATCCTAATCTAATAGCAATCTCAGCCTTTATTTTAATTTAAATTGTTAATTTATAATTTAAATATACCTAAGGGTAATATTACCAGGTCTGGAGAGGGTTAGATGTACACGACCTTTATCATTGCATGCAACTAAGTATTAAAAATTTGAAACTATTGATTATTTATGGAAGGCTAAAGATGTAGTGTCAAACCGTTGATTCCTGAAAATTGTTAATTTATTTATTTATAACCAATTTACTATCAAACATTTAGCTTCAATTAGAATTCCTATCACAAATGATTAAAACAATAACTTTATGACTCAAGAAAAATGAAGTATTAAATACTAACAAGTGTCATTGATGTTACTTTAAACAACAAACAATATAACAGCAACAATCAAAATTTTCATATGAGCCAAACTTAGACAAGCAAGCAATGATATCAATTGGAAATGCAATAAAACAACAATCCAGTTCAATAATTATCAAATACATACAATGTCTAATTTATAGTAAAATTTCATGCCAAATTTCATAACTGCAAATTCTAATTTATAGTCTAATTTATAGTAAAATTATTTTTGGGTGTCAATGTCAATCAATTGGGAAAGTTGCTACACTTTCTCTCTCTAAACCGAAACCCTAACGTCACTCAGAAGAAGACCAATTTTTGGTACAGATCATACCTTGTGGGTTTGATCCGGCTTCAAGATTGGGAACAAAATCCTCAAGGTTGAATACATCAATGTCTAATTTATAGTCAAATTTCAGAGCAAATAATCAATGATTTGAAATGCAAATTCTAATTTATAGTTAAATTGTTTTTGGGTGTCAATCAATTGCGGAAGTTGCTACACTTTCTCTCTTCAAACGAAACTCTAACGCCACTCACAATACCAATTTTTGGCACAAATCATACCTTGTGGGTTTGATATGGCTTCAAGATTGGGAACAAAATCCTCAAGATCGAAGCTTTTTCATTTGATCCAACTTGATTCACTTTAATAGACAAAAAAGATTTTCATCCAGTCTATGTAAAACTAGAGAAAGAGGAGAGATTTAAGGACGAATAACAAAAATTGTTGTTAGATGAAATTAGGATTTCTATCAAAATTAAATTTTGATCTCGACACAAACTCAAGCAACACATTTTTTAAAAAAAATTATTTATTTTATTTTATTTTATTAATATCGATATTTTTATCATATCCCATTCTTTATAATAAACAAGCACAAGGCTTTAACATCACGCGAGCCAAACTTTTTGAGTTTACCATTAACTTTTTGTTTTTTTGTTTTTCGTAGTTGGTTTACCATTAACATTTCAAGCACAATTTCTTAAAAAATCATTAAAAATTACTATTGATAAGTGAGATTGACGCGTAGTTAGTGACATAGGTCTATAATTTTTTTTTTTCTTTTTAGCAAATATAGATTTATATATATATATATATTTCTTGAATGTATTGGAAGGACAATGGTTGAATTTGGTAAATGGTAACTAGGCACCCACATTCCAATTTTGTTTTAAATATTGGGACACTGATTAATAATCCTTCGAGCAGTGCTAGACTTCATGGAAAAAATTCAAGTTTATATCACAAATGGTAAATACGATTTCTTATTTCTCCACCAAAGTTACTCTTTCTTCTTTTTTAGACTAGTTACTCTCTCAATATTTTCTTTCCAAAAGTATATAGATTCATATTATTCCTCTACCATAGTCATCACAGAGGTCAACATTGAATCCCATCAAGAGATACAAATATAATCCTAAATTTTGGAGTTATAATTTCATACCAACACATAAGAATTATTTATATATTATTCTCTCAATGATTAATTATACATAGCTTCAATGTATACATATATATACATACACACACTGTGCTCAAGTATTAGAACTAGGCCGTATAGTTGTGGCCCGCAACTTCCAAAAGAAAATCTAAGAATGATTCAAGAAAAAGGAAATTAGCTCCCAAAAGGAAATATGAGTGAGGGTCTCTGGATTCAAAAAGGAAAGCTAATTATGGCACGTCTCATTAGTGATAAAATCATGAAAATCACTTCATGATGTCTATCATTTTCCTAATCCTTATACCATTATGTTATAACTTTTGATATTTTTGTCCTGTCTTTTTTTGGTTTTATTTTTTTGCTAATGATAAAGTAAGGTTAATTTAGTAGTTGTACCACCAAAATTATGATTTGTACTTATTTGCACAAATTGAAAACAATAAGAGAGTTTTTTGAACAATAGGGGGTAATTGCACATTTAGCATATTATGCGGGTTTTTTTTTTTTAATTTTTTTTTGGTTAACCCTTTGGGGAATTTTGCAACAAAATGTAATACTTTAGGAGGTATTATGCACAAAATAAAGTTTAGGGGGTTTATTTTCAATTTCAAACATAGTTCAGGGATTTTTTTTGCACTTTACCCTTATTATAAAATATTTGTGAGACAATGGCCAATGAAAATAAATCTGTTGTAACCCATCTAATAAAATAAAGGGACAAGTTTATAAAACACCTCTAAAGTATACTCCGCGTAGCACTTTTACCCCATATTTTAAAAAGTGTGCAAAAAACACTCATAATTTTTTCGCATTGTGCAAAAATACCCCATCTAACATAAATTAGTATTGTAATACCCGTTTTACCCTTTTACTCTTCTAAAAATGCTAAAGGGAGTATGTATGTTACTAATCTCATAGTATAGGAGTGTTATGTGCACATTACCTTATATATATATATATATTTTAAACTTTTGTCTCTATATATATCTCTAAACATTTTTTTTTAAAACTTTAAGAATTTGTAAAACAATGATTTGAATTTTTTGATATTCTAGTTTACTCTTTTCTATTACATTTTTTTTTTCTTTATTTTATTTTTTCTCGTACCAACACTGTTAAAAAAAAAAAAAAAAAAAAAAAATTCCAATATCAATGTGCACTGATTTTTGGAGTTTGAAAAAAAATTATTTTATTTAGTTTGCACTTTATTTTTTGTTTTTTTATTTATTTTTATCTTTACTTGTCAATTGTTGGTGTCCTCCAATAGTGTCATTTTCGGTCGTTTTATAAAATTATTTATTTTCATATATTTTATAAAATGGTTCAGTAAGGGTAATTTAGTCAACTTATGGTTTAAATTTGTCAAAGGGACCTATTTGCATCAGATTAAAACTTTTTTTTTTTTTTTTTCACGAGTCGGTATCCTCAAATAGTATCATTTACAAAATTATTTATTTTTATATATTTTATAAAGGTAATTTAGTTTTAAATTTGTCAAATAAATCTATTTGCACCTAATTAAAATTTTAGAGATGTGTTTTGTACGTGGAGAGTGTGATATGCCCTATCAGCAGCATACCTTAGGGTTTTTTTTTGGCACTTCCCTAAAATACATGCTTCTCAAGTCAAACCAATCCATTTAGAACAAATAACCCAATTTTAGAAAAAGTTTATGATGAAAAATTATGCTCTATTATTAATATAAAGTGCATAATAAATTTTCTGTTGACATCCCTGCGAACTTACTATATATATTATATGCTATTAATATCAATTACAGTAATACGTTATAGTACCATTAATAATAATATATATACATACAAAATGCAAGATTAGGTTTAGGATTATAATTAATTATTAAATGGATCGGATCATATTTGTGGATCAAATGAGCACTTTTAATATTTATTTATTTATTTATTTGGAAACTTTTAAAACACTCCTATAATCCATCAATTTATAAGTATTTAACTCAAACAAACAGCTTAGGGAGTTTGCTGTATTACATTGATGATGTAGGGATAATTTTGTAATTTAATCCTACATGTTATATGTATATTGTATACTACTATATAATATGTATGTATGTGTGTATGTATGTATACTTTTAAAACACTCCTATAATCCATCAATTTATAAGTATTTAACTCAAACAAACGGCTTAGGGAGTTTGCTGTATTATATTGATGATGTAGGGATAATTTTGTAATTTAATTCTGATGTTATATGTGTATTGTATAACATGTATGTATGTGTATATGTATGTATGTATATATAGGCCATGAATTTCAGAGAAAAAGTTTGATCTGCTTGGATGGTCCGATCACATGGCTTCCTCTCATCAGACTTCCGTTCCTCTGCCTGCAGACCCAGGTAATTATTTCTTCTAATTTAGCTTCCATCTGATCATAACTGTACCAAAAATTTACGCATGTCTATATACTTCGAATGATTGTTTTCTGGGTTTATAATTACCTTTAGCTTTATGTCTTGAATTTTAGATCAAATGCGTATTTTGGTTTTTGTGGTTGATTTTGAACATGGGTTTCTTCTTACTGTGTGTAAATAAAGTCGCTGATTTGTTGGCTCTTGTTCGCCACTTCAATGTCTGTACTTCTTTTTGGCAGATATATCATGTGGGTATCGCCATTTATGATTCTCCTTCCTCCCCAACTTTTTTTTCTTCTTCTCTCTCTCTTGAAGTTTTTACACTTCAGTTTGTTTTCAGAAGTGACTTGTTCATATGAAACTTTAGAATTGTTTTGTTTGTTTACATACTTATTAGTTGGTGATTTTTATGGTGCGCGCGTGTTTTCTCCCCTCTCTAAAGGATGGTCCAAATATATATACACTTCACTTATTTAATGAGAATTGCAATGCTATTTCTGGTTTTTATTTTTCTTCATCTTATATGATTTAACAATTAGAGGAACGATCATCAATTAGGGAGAATGTGTTTTTTGGGATATTAGATTGTTATCTGGGTGTAGTTGATACGGTCTGGATACTATTAAATTGCCCCTCCCAAGTGCGATTGGAATTGGTCATATCATCTATAACTTTCACGATGGTCTAAATTTATGCACTTCACTTATTTCATCAGAATTGCAATGCTATATTTGGTTTATTTATTTATTCATATTAGATTATTTAACCATTAGAGGAAGGATTATCAATTAGGGAGAATATGTTTTATGTTTTTTGGGATCTTAGATCATTATCTAAGGCTCTGATACATGAGAGTATGCACTTTTGTAGATAAACAACTCGACATTTAACACAGATTACAATCCTTCTTTAGAGTAGGAATTTCCAACACGACTCACTGTGCTGACATGTTTGTTTTAGCATATTTGTGTAGTATAGGCATGCTATTTGAAAGGTGAGATGAGGTTAAATTTTTAATTCCTACTATAATTTTTCTTGAGGTTCTTTGAACTATAAGAATGTATTAAAGAAACTCCCATTTCTGTTATATTGTGGTGATTATTTAGTGATTTCTTCATATCAGCGTGTTAAACTACCTACTCTGCACATAAAGGATGTGTGGAAGCACAATGGATTGTTTTAGTTTCCACTGGGGCATCCAGACATCCCCTTTAAGCATATAGGAACATTATTTACTTGTCATTGTACTCATCATCCTTGCGTTCATCCCATATGAATGAGGTCGGCAACATGAATTCTCTTCTTCCATTCTTTTCAATTATAAGCCATATTTCGTCTTATATTTAATTTTCTAAATTCATTTTTAACTACTTCATCACCATGCGAGTTTAGGTCAGGCTCTTGATCTTTTACCTTCTAAGAAAACAACTCCCTCTCTTTTAACCGGTGCATCTTTGGGTCTATGTTATACCACCTGAGTTTATTTTCTCTTATTTTATCACAATTAGGCGCTACTCCTAGTTTTTGTTAATCCTCTCTCTTCTAGTTATTCCTATCATCCATCTTAGCATTATCATTTCAATTACACGAATGAGTTGTTCTTGTTACTTTTTTAACGCCCAACATCCTGCTCCATATATTATAGGCTTTACAGCTGGCCTAGTAACTGTCCTGTAGATTTTTTTTATTTTTAATAATGAATATATATTTGTTTGTCACATAGTATAGAATTAGTTTCTCTTCATTTTGTCGACCCTGCCCCAATCCTACTGATTACATCACCATCACATCTCTCTTTTCTAGTCACTCTTACTTTTCTTTACGTGTCAGTGTGTACTAGTTAATACCTGACTATCCTTTTTAGTTTCATATAGTTGGTGAGGACAAGTGAATAGAGAGGATATTGGGCAAGTAAATTTACCTAATGCAGTACTCTGGAATTTAAATAATTTGTGGTTTGTTTTCTTTTAATTGATTCTGTTTCTTCATTACATTTACTTTTCTTGATTCTGAATTATTCATCACTGTTAGTTTTTTCTCTTGCAATGTAAATGGTAGCAACATTGGATGTAACTAATCAATGCTTTTGGCGCTTAGAATCGTGCGTCATAAGTGTATAACGGCCTCAATACATGTGATGTGGACCACGTTAATTTACTAATACATAGGGTTCTATTTTTTATTATCTAATAAGAAAAAGAAGAGATCCTTTATTTCTAGAGCACACATTTCACTTCGACTGCTTGTTTGTATATGTTTTTATAATATATATATGTGTTTGTGTGTGTGTGTGTGTGGCATCCTTTCTGCAAAGGTAATTTTTAATAAATGGAGTCTTTCATATTTGACCCAATTTTTCATAAGTTACATTTTTGTGCTCATTAGTTCTTTTTTTTACGCTTGCTTTTGGTGCTATTTTTGTGAATTGTGTTATCTAATAAAAAAATTTATTCGTAGGCGGGAAACCCCTGGATCATGAAGCTCACATGTCCCTGGTTCCTATCCATATTGTCACTCATGCAAGTCAACTCCCAATCGAATTCTTGGAGCCCTCTCCGGAGAGGCAACTGGTGATTGGTTTTGATTGTGAGGGGGTTGACCTTTGTCGCTATGGAAATCTTTGTATCATGCAGGTAAATTACACTTATTTTATGATGTTTGATCAGATGATGGAATGGTACCGTATGTCTTAAAAGATTCCCCCCTTCATTTTGGAGATTGCTTCTTCAATTTCATCCATGATACAAGGGTTGAACTATCTTCCTATATCCTAACTGTGTGCCTATTTATTGTGAATAATGATAAATAACTATAAAGAAGCATTTCGTATGGCATATATGGTGTCTGATTGAATGACAGAAGTTGATCTAGAAATGTAGACATTTCATTTTCAATAATATAAACATCACAATCTATTTGTACAATGATGTTGTGGTAAAGACACAAAACTGCATAAAAATATCCTGTACCAGCCAAAAATATTTACAAGAATTTTACATTAACACCTTTGAGAAGACATTTCTATTTCTTACTTGCCTCATTTAAACTTAAAAGAAATATCATGTTCTTCAGCAAGAAAGATTAGACACATATTTGTGGTTGCAAACTTAATTTTCTTTGAATACCTATGTAAATCCAAGATGGTCTCAAATAACTATAGGATTAAATTCAAAGTAATTTAAAATTGTATGACATCAAGTTCAGAACTGGTGCAAAAATATACTATCAGGTGAATGGGATTGTGCATGCTTACATATACCCATGATGGTTGTGACGTATATTAAGTCAATATGAACGATCAAGTTGGTGCGTAGTGTAATTTCTTTTTCCATGCAATACATTATCCTCCTGCCCTTTGCCTGTCATGCCCCCTCTTAAAGAAAAATTTGAAAGACACTTGATAATAATTTGAAATTAAAAAAAAAACTTGGGGTTATACCTTTCGTTGTTGGCTTGTATGGGCTTGAGATGGCAAAATATATTCACAATGTGTCTTATAACTTGTTATCGTCTCTTACTCTTAACTAACTGTTTTATTTTTAAACTTTCAGCCAATGATTTTATAACTCATTTTCTATCATTTTAATATCAGATTATCTAAATGAGAAATTACCGGTGTAAACATACAAACAAATTGGCAAAAGGAAAAAATTATAATGGTAATGATTGCCTTAACAAAGAAGATGCCTTGCATGTTTTTGACATAATTGCTGCACTATGTCACTCACTCATGAAGGAGGTAGGCTCCTTTTTAAGATGTATGAGTCCATATGTAACTGACATCGTCACACCGTGTAAATATTGTTCACTTTGCACACGCTCTTCTCAGTACACACATTTTTCCTCAAAAAGTGGTTAAGGGGTGTCCACACATATGAATGCCAAAAACTTCTCCCAAGGCGATATGGGACGTCACAATCACCCCCTCTTTGGACCGAACATCCTTGTTGGCCTGACCCGTATAGGCTTATACACGTCCCCATTTTCATCTGGGGATCGTCTCTAATACCATTTGTCACAACCCACCCAAAACCAAGTAGTTATTCTCCGCTTTGCGCGCTATCCTTTCAGTGCTCACGGTTTTGCTCAAAACACATTTATACGGTTATGGGAGGGATGTCCAAACATATATATGTCGAGAAGTTCTCCCCTCGGCGATGTGGGACATCACAATCATCCCCTCTTGGGCCCAGCATGGACGCTGGCCTTGTCCCGCATGGGCTTGTGCACGACCCCATTTCTAGCTAGGGATTGGTTCTGATACACCATTTGTCACAACCCGCCTCACACCGTGTAGATATTGTTTGCGTTGCACACTCTCCTCTCGGTGCTCACAGTTTTTCACAAAACGCGTCTACATGGTTAAGGCAGAAACTTCTCTTCCAGACGATGTAGGACGTCACATACATAGGGGTTATACGTATACTAAGCCAAATATATATACTAAGCACACACATATATTGTTATTAGTGGTGAATATTTAGATTAAAAGATGTGTTTCTTTTCTTTCCTATCTTCAAAGAATACCAAGGCTTTTCTTTTTATATACTGATGAGGCAAGGGTTGGAATTAGTGCAAGGTCTGTGATCTAGAACTAAGCTAGATTTTTTTCTTTTTTTAATTTTGTGTGTGCATGTGTGTGGGGGGGGGGGGGTGTGAGGGTGGGGGAGTGGGGTTGAATAAGTCTTGTTTGCAGCTTTAACTATTTTGAACAATTTTTTGAATTCTTAGCTAAATTACCATAATTTTGAATTCAAATTGAAACTATATATGAAATCTCATTAAATCCATCATGCTAATCAACATACCAATCAAACAGTAATAAATTAATTAAACAATTAAAAGCATGAATAAGGATATCAAGACTCTTATGTGGAAAACCCAATCGGAAAAAACTATGGGACTAGTCCAAGCAAACTAGATCCACTATGAGAAAGAGATTTACACTATGTTAAAAGTTCCTAATCTGTAGAATCCCTAGTTACTAGTTACTAGTTACTAGTTACCTTTGACACAGACTGAACCTCCAAACTCTCCACTCTAGTCTCCAGGCACATAGTCTGCTCGTCAACAAATCCGTTTCTCACGCGATCTGCTTCTCTAACCAGTGATTTGATCTCCAATGGCCAGTAGTATACTCCAATCTCAGTTTGATTGAATGATTGTTGGTGTTGAACTCTTCCAAATCAGATTTACATTGATTATGATGTCAACACATTTATATAACAGTCACCAATCTAATACAGTTGATAATGATAAAAGAAAAATACAAATGCACTCAAAATTTATTCAAAAGCTCTCAAAAACACATCTTTAGTGTATGGGATATGCCCTATGATAGTTTTATAAACAAATCAGTGTTGCAGAGATAATAGGGTTTTAAGTCTCTAAAACTGAAAAGGAAATTGCTTTCTCGAACAGCTCAATCGGTTGACATGACTCTAGTAGCCTTCGGTAGATACCTGATCGATAGAAGCACTCTGCCGTTTTATACTTACAAAAGTTTCAGAAAAGGTACTTTTCAAAACACTCTATAAGCAAATCAATTATGATTTTCCAAATTAAATCATGAAATTTAAAATGTATGAATCATGAATTGTAGTTTTGGTGAGTGTATAGAATTGTTGATTTACTTTACACCCATGGTATAGAGGATTCCGCTTTTGCCCATGGCTGAAGCTTGAAATTCATCTTTGATCATGATCAAGAGGTAATTAATTTTTAAATTTCTAGCTAAGCTAACAATAAAAATCTATTTTTGATCGACAAAATATACTTCTATTAGTTTTCATGTCCAATTCTGAAGCATTTTTTATCAGCACTTTCAGAGAAGCTACCTTTTCTAATGCTTGTTGTCATTCATGGTTCTTCGTAATTTATTTAGCACTGATACTTTAGTGGAATATTGTGTCCCATTGTCTTGTCTCAATGCAGAACTTCTTTAATCCCAGAACTGGATGCTTTTCTGAATTCAACTTAATATGATCATATTTTGCTCCTCAGCTATCAGTCTTCTAAATGTTGTATTCTATGAATTTCACTAAGATTCGTGTTGTCATACTATTAATGAACTTGTATCATAAACATCAACTTTGTAATTAATATGAAGTTTTTTTCCGACGCAGCTTGCCTTTCCAGATGCTATATATTTGGTTGATGCTATTCAGGGTGGTGAGTTGCTCATGAAAGCCTGTAAGCCTGCACTTGAGTCTAGTTACATCACTAAAGTTATTCACGATTGCAAAAGAGATAGTGAGGTCTCTAATTAATTTTATTTGCTTCTGTATTGGCATGTTTAAATGCATATTTCATATTTGATGACCTTCAATCTATTCTTTTTCTGTAGGCATTGTATTTTCAATTCGGCATCAAGTTGCACAATGTTGTGGATACTCAGGTGAATGTCTTAATTACTTGAACCAAAATTTATGGATGGCATTAGTGTCCTGTTTTTATTTATTTATTCCTATTTCATAGTCATTGTGTGGCATATTGTTAACAATATAAGAGAATTTCTTTTCTTTCCTTCTATTTTCCTAGTCAGGGCAGGGGGATTGTGTTTTGTATTCAAGGCATCCAATAAAAAAGATCAAATGGATATCACGATCTTTATCATCCTGTATACATATTTATCATTTACTTGTTAGATTTAGCAATATCAACAGTTAACTCAGCTAAATTTATGGACTTATTGGATTGACTGAGCCTAGCTCCCTTTTGGCTTCAACCATAACTGCTGCACATTTGTAGAAAAGCAATGTGGCGTGATCATGGTTTTACTCTTGAATATATCCTTCTTTGGTTTGACAAAGCTCGCCATTATCCTGGTGATTCAGACCTGCTGTGTGCTACTTCTTCTGGACTTGAACTATGGTGACAGTTGGGATTGCCAGAAATCCTTTTTGCAGCAGATAGTGACCTGTTGCTTTAGCTAAACCATACGCGATACCCTATAAATCCTCAATGAATACAGCGTGGTTATTTGAGGGGCTCATCCCCCTTGTGCTTGAGGGCCTGTCAATATTGGGCTAGTGAATTTTAGTAAAAGATAGTAGATTTTCTTTTCTCTTGTGATATATCCTTTTTTGATCAGGTACATTTCAGAGGCATGGTAAGATAAGGTAGACTTAATCCTATCTGTTGACTCCTCTAAACAAGGGTTGACCCATCAAATGCTAATTTATTAATCTCCATGCTTGCTGTTGATTCGAGCATGTATTTTTGTAGTGACACTACTATATGTTTGAGGCTGCCTGCCTACCTTTACGTGATGGAAGTTCAAAAATTTGAAGTGGTTGAATTGCAACTGATATATGCAACATAACCTCCACGTTTGGCAGATTCATATTGACAATAATTTTGGATGCAGATTGCTTATTCTCTGATGGAGGAACAAGAAGGACGGAAAAGATTGCCAGATGACTATATATCATTTGTTGGCCTCCTTGCAGATCCACGCTATTGTGGTATTTAATCTGTTGCGGTATCATTTTTTATTTATTGATTTAATTTTTTCTGTATTAGGTCTTAGATCCCTGCTGCCTTTAGTTTAATTGTTTGAGATGAACATCCGGAATTCTTGCTAAATAACTTATAATGGACTTTTTCTTGAATGCTTTTGTTTCTCAATGGTGGTGATATTGTCATTGCATGTAAACAGTGCATGAGTGTTTAGGTGGCTGTATGTATGGGGGAGAGTGTGTGCGTGTGCTTTTTTGGGCTACTTCATCTTTTGTTCCTTTTCATTTGAATTACAAAATAAAGTAGAATGGAAATTCTAAAAGCCTGGGAAATTATTCTGACTGTACTTGTTCTGTTTTATGGAAGGATATATTCATGGATGCTGTGCTGCTCCTTTTGAAATACTTCAGAGTTTTAGAGTTGCACTTAATGTTGAAGGTTATATGGTTTTCTGTTTTATTGGCACATACCTCTCCATGCTGTAGAAATAATGTAAAATTAAGGTGCGGGGACTTTACACAGGAGTCAGGATCGCCTTTCTTTAGTATCTTGTTAACAACAGGTTGTAATCATGTTAGCAATCATTATTGCCTGGAGGTTCCTTATTTTCTAACCCCGGCATAGGCCCAAGAATCATGCATGGAAAAGTTTGTGTGGGATTAGGGGACTGTTACCCAAAGCTCTGATATACCCTAATACGAAAGGTTCTTAGACCTAGAGGGAGGGTGTGAATAGGTCTTATGGATATCTTTCTTATTTTCATTGGCAAGAAACTCGTGCACCCATTTGCCCCCATGGGGACTTGAACCCTTACCAAACACATTGGGAGGTAAAGGAGATACCACTAGGCTACAAGGCTTTTGGTAGGTCATATGGATATCAATTTGCCACTTCTTTGTTTTTTTTTTTTCAGAAAATAGTTTGCAACTAATTAAAATGACTGTTAATCCTTTTTTAAAATTCAGTTAATTAGTTAAATTTGTGTTTCAATTGCAATCATAAAAACACATAAAACAATGAATAAAGTAGATTAGAGGCATAAGATATTTTACGGGAAAAATCCTGGAAAGGGAAAACTACAGGACATTGTCCATCCATGAGCAATCCAATACGAGAAAGAAGTTCACAACCAGATTAACCAGATTTTCACCCTAGAATCCACTAGTTACTTCTTGACTCAAACTTACGGCATACTCTCCACTTGAGCTCTTGATGTTGTCAGAAAACATATTCACTCCTCGAGCGATCCGCTTGCCATGGTTGTTCAAACCTTGATCTTTTAACTCTGCTCGAATGTGTCACTCTTGTTTAACTTTGTTGTGCTCCTTGCTTTAAATTTATCAATTAGATATATTGAATGCTTCGATGGTAAACCCTAGATCAAATTTTCCAAGTTTCCTTTTAAAAAATATATAATCTCTCACTGCAAAAGATGTGTAGAGATACATATAAAGATATCCTAAACTGATTATAGCCCCATATTTATTGCCAATATAAGAGATTTATGTAAAATAGGAAGCAAAATCCTTTAAAAGGCTTTTTTGAGGGAGTTTACAATAAGATGGTTCTGCACAAGTGGACCGAGTTACCGGTTGTGCTTCTATTGCTCAAGCTTTTGGCTGAGATCCTCTGGCCAAGTTTTGATCAATCAATTGGTTCTACGGTTGAGTCCTTCTGTTTTGCAAAAAAAAATACTGTTCTAATTCGAATTCTTTGTGAAACCTTTGGATCAAAATACTAATTTTAAAAATAATTAATAATTAAAACTATATTTTAAGCCTCTCTAAAGATCATACTTAGGTCATAAATTGTTTCTATTGTCTCAACTTACCTTTGCTTAGATATGTGATTCAGCTTGAGAGATTTTTGGCATGTTCTCTGATGATCTTCATCTCCATCACCATCTTTCGGTTGTGGAACACAGCAATTCAAAACAACCGACACACATTACAACCAAAGTTTGTTGTAGGAATTTGCCAACACATGACTTAATACCTAACATTTCGAATCCAAATGAACGTTTCTTGAATATTATAGAAAATATTTTATAGAGCACAACAAACATCGACTAGGATTGTCTAGTAAAGGAGCTTGTAATAAGGGTTGTACCTGTCTGCAATTACAGGATAGATGCACTCTGACAATTCAGTCATACTCTCTCTCTCTCTCTCTCTCTCTGTGATGAATCTGTAATATTCATCACCCATTGATTACCATCCCGAAGATGGTCCACTACATTGGATGAATTTCTTTTCTCCATAAGAGTTTTGACTTAATGGAGAAGAAGATATTGTTATAACATTTATTACATCCTTCAAAAATTTGTCATTATGGTGAAGAGTACACACCTTGGGTTCCCTTAAACCAATCTTTTATCATCATGCAACGCTATATTAAATAACAAACAAACAGTGCATGTATCTTACTTTTGTTCAATCTAGTTCAAGTATCATGGACCTCAATAGAGATAATAACAACTATAAATGAAAATATTATATTTACTTTAGATGAATTTGCACTGTACACTTTTCACGTTCATGGTATTTTTTATCATTCATTAAGGACTTTACTTCATTCTCTGTTATAGCACTTCTTTCCTTGTGCCTCTTTTTTGAGGTTGTAGTTTAATTTGCCTCTTAAGAGATTTATTTTTTTCTGAAAAAGAAGAGACTCATATGATTTACTTCCCTTTACCAAATCGTGTCACTGAAGGCATAGAAATAGAACTCCAAGCTGCAGCTGTGTTCTTAAGTAAAACTCCAATGTGTATATATATATATATATGAAATAGTGTTCTACTTTTCTTTTTGGTATTAAATGTCAGTTGGCAATTGTTTCTTAATAGATGTTCTGATATTTTTTCATGTTTCTTCTCTGTTCTAAGTTAAATATCCTTCTCTCAGTTTGGACTGTACAGAAAATCTATCATTGTTGTTATAAAGTAGTATGTTTTTCTCGACCAATGCCAAGGATGTTGTATTAATGCTTCCTTATTGGACATGCGAATTGAACTCATATATTCTGACTTTCACATTGAATTCCATCCATCATATTGCTTGGATTTACACCTTCAGCATTTGAATGTAGGTATATCTTATCTGGAGAAGGAAGAAGTCCGTGTTCTTTTGAGGCAGGTTGGTTTTATTCAATCCTATTTATTCTGAAACTGCTGATGCCTTGTCCTCAGCACTACTACATCTCTTTAGTGGGTAAATTTATTCTGTATAGCTGCTAATTTCTGTAGGACTGTTAGTTAGGAAGATTAGAATGTGCATGCTTAGCCCCCACCACCACTCTGTCTCTCTAGTCTGTAAAGTTATTCTGTATGACCATCTAACAAATGTCCGTTAGTTAGGAAGATTAGAATGTGCGTGCCTTGCTTCACCACCACTCCGTCTCTCTAGTGGGTATATAACCCTGTCTTAATTTTGACGTCCACATCAAATTCCATCCATCAAATTGCTTGGATTTTCACTTTCAGGATTTGAATATAGGTATATCTTATCTGGAGAAGCAAGAGGTCTCCGTCCTTATCCGTGGCTAATGTGCAATTTGTATGACCACATAACACACAAGCCCCAGCCAACCGCACCCCCCCCCCCCCCCCCCCCCCCCCCCCTTAAACCCCCTTTTTTTCACTTCTTCTCCTCTTTTTCATGTCTGTTAGTTAGGAAGATTAGAATGCATGTGCCTTGCGACCACTACTACTCCATCTCTCTAGTTGGTAAAGTTATTCTCCTTAGAGGGGAAAGATACTCCATAATGTTATTGGTATTTCATTGTCATTGGCATCCAGCATTAGAAGGAGTGATTTCATATTTTAAGCTATTTACTAAAAGATTGAAGTTGTTTTATTTTCACCAGCCTAATGTAATTAGGCGTCATACAGAATTTGCAGAGCTCCATTTGGTCATCAAGAAACTTGTGAAGGCTAAGGTGTTCGGTCAAAACGTCTAGTTAGATGTATCAATCTTTTGTGATATTTCAATGGAATGTTGGTCTCTTGATATTTAATAATAAGGCAGACATGAGGTTTTAGAAACATCCTTTTTGAAATTGTATGCCTAAATCATATGTGTTGTGCAGTTTAAACAACTTATCAGAACAACCGGTACCAGACATCTTATATGATTCATTTGACCTAGTACCAAGAGAGTAAAAATAGATCTTTCTGAAGTTATTGTATCCCCAACTTCTAATATCAGCTCAAACATTCAGCTTGAGATTAAACCTTTTTCTTGCCTACGAAGTTGATATGTTGTGTCAGTATGCTATTCAAAAAGCATCCTAGAAGTTTAAATAACATGATTGCCATTTATTTTTGCTACACCGTACATACTGGAAGTATCTTCTAACTATTGTGATGTTTTCTTCATTGACATTTCCAGGACCCTAACTTTTGGACATACAGACCATTATCTGAACTGATGGTCCGTGCAGCTGCAGATGATGTCCGCTTTCTTCTCTATATATATCACAAGATGATGGAGAAATTGAATCAGCAATCATTATGGTATCTTGCAGTTCGTGGTGCGCTGTATTGTCGATGTTTCTGCATTAATGATAACGATCATGCTGATTGGCCATCTCTCCCTCCAGTTCCAGGTTTTTCCCCTCTTTGATTGGGCAAGCTGTACAGTTATTAGTTCTTTAATTAAACACATAAACTAAACAAATTTGTTATAATTTGGGATTTGTTTATGAGCTTGTTTTCTTTCTTTCCTTTCTTTTTTTTTTCCTTTTTTCTTTTTTAATTTTATACTGTCCACAGTGTTTAAACAATGTATATAGAACACTCAGGTTAGATTTAATCACATTCTTAAAATAAGTAGGTTTCTAATTTCCCTAAGACTACGGAAAAGTGAGTTTTTACTTAGTTGATGAAATGGATGGTCATGCCTATTCACTGAAACCTTTTTGCTTCAGGGTCTAATATATAAATAGCAAGAATTGGTTGATTTGAAACAGAGTATACTCTTAAACCTTCTATATTAACGTCTGATTAGAAATCTATCATAAATTATATATGCATTGCGAGGATTGTAGCTTGTAGTACTATATCTATGGTGTTAATATGACTGAAATGATAGATACATAGTTGTACTGATATACATTATATGTATCCATAACAAGTAATTCCGCTACAGATACGGGAAACATTCTTTCAAGAACTGGAGAGAGGTTATAAAGCCTTATGTGTTCCTATCTTCTACCATCTAGCAATTTAATGTCCTATAGTTATGGTGCATAGTTTAAGTTACGACGACTCAACTATTCAGGGAATGTACTTCTGCAACGTTGAGACGTGGAAACCATATTGTGAAGATTCATAAAATCAATTTTCTATTTGCTATTGACTGATTAACCAGTGTACATATCTGATTGTCCTTTTCTCTCTCCTTTTCTTCTTCCCTTTTCCCCCTTTTCGTATCTCCAATGAGAAAAATGTTTATCATGTGCAAGTTTGGCAAGTGGCCCCTATTAACAATTGTATCTAAGAAGCAATGGGAATTAGAAAAAATTTAATTGGTACTGGTGTGTTTGGCACTGCAGTAATGTGCAGGCAATTAAATCTTTTGGTTGGAATGCAAGTATCTAGTGTTTTTTCCTTTAATTGATTACCTGTCATTGCAGATACCCTTACTATAGAGGGGAATGCTCTGGAGGAAGAGATCCTGTCCGTTCTTGATGTTCCCCCAGGGAAAATGGGACGTGTTATTGGAAGAAGAGGAGCTTCCATCTTGTCAATCAAAGAGTCTTGCAAGTATTTCTCTTGTTCTTTCCCTCAATACATTTATATGCATATTTATAATGTGCCTGTGTAAGTTGATTTCTGTTGAGAAGTAGCAGTTGTGTCCATTTTATCTTGTACTTATTATGTATATATTTGCAGTGCTGAAATACTCATTGGAGGTGCCAAGGGTCCACCTGACAAGGTTAGTTTGTCAATCCTACAGAAGCTAGCACAATTCTGTAATTTGAATTTACCTCGTATTAAAATTCAGTTTCTTTGCATAAAGTTGCTTAGTTAAGGTATAAAATATGCCATAGCAATTTGATGAATGACTTCTTGTCCAATGCTTCATATGATCTTATTTGGGCTGGAAAAAATTGGCCATAAATTTAGAAAATTTGGCAATGAAATGCAAGTCCAAGGAAATTTAGGAAGGGTTTGCCATTTCATTTTATTGCATTATTACAGTAAATCTTTTAAGTTTTAACGAATGTTTTGGAAATTTCTGCAGAATTCGATTCAAGTTGGATCAAATAATTCTAAAAGAATGAATATTTTTGGTTGTCCAGAAACAGTAATCTGAATCCATACTATGGAAAATTTGTAGATTGAAATATGTGGTTATCACTAAAGTTCTTGTAGCCCAAGTAAATACCTTGTTGGTTGAGGATACAGGTTTCGGCTCTTCTTCAGCAAAACAATTTGATGATGTTGTATTTATCTTACAATAAATAATAATAATAATAATAATAATAATAATAATAATAATAAATGAAATACGGTTGACCGTGAAAGTTTCTCATACCTTGTGCTATTCGTGCAGGTATTCATCATTGGACCAGTGAAGCAGGTGAGGAAAGCAGAGGCCATGTTAAGAGGGAGAATGCTAGAAATGTATTAAGAACTATATTCTGTATCGCCTTTGTTCATCCTGTACTCTACAATAAAAAAATTTATATTCTAAAAAAAATGAGTTTGCTGTTTAATATCCTTGGTTCCTCACATGTCCATATACACATAAATATCGGTTAGCTGAGGAGATACTGTTTTAATTTTTTTAATGTCATTTTTATTTTGCTAGGGTTTTGTCCTAGGCTTCTGAGAACTAAATTGGTGTTCGAGTATGTGATGATTTTCTATGATGTAAAATGATTAAAAATACTTGTGAATTTTGAAGGGGGAAAAAGAGAGGAAGATAATCACCTAATTGATGCCGGTTAGCACTGGTTCAAAATTGGTCCAATTCGTATGCACCAGTTTAAAGCTCAGGCAAAACCAGGGATCCAATTAGCTCAGTGAATGCCATAAACAGGGCACAAAGAAAATCTAATCAGGGTAGGATGAGAAACATGAAAAAGACATGAATCAATGCTCAAAAGATAAATTTCCAATAATATGAAAAACGGGGTGAACTGTATAGAAAACACTCGATTGAACTTTCGTTTATAAATTACTAGTATAAACAAACTTGAACTTACATAAAAACTTGATTGAACTTTCGTTTATAAATTACTAGTATAAACAAACTTGAACTTTCATAAAAACTTGTAAGTACCCTTTGATGGCCGTTAAAGCAAGTGTTGCATATTATAGACAATGACCATTATACTTTGTCCTTTTTCTTTTTTTTTTTCTTTTTTCTTTTTCCCATTTGAAGTAATAATAATTTTTTTAAAAAAAAAAATCATATTTGAGGGTATTTAATATTCCACTTAACAGTGGGGAATTTTGTTAAATTTTTAAACTTTGGGAGAGGGTTTTTATTTTCCCGAGGAATTTGTAAATGTGTGAAAGTTTAAGGGGGTTTTTAGCAATTTATCTTAAAATCAATCAAAATATAACTATATAATTTAATCATATAAAGAGTATAGGCATCTGTAATGCGGTAAAAGTTTTGGTTCAGATGACAATTTTATTAGTCCCAACAAGCCCTTATTGGGATCCGTTTGGGAAGAAACATTAAAATTCATCCCCATCTTAAACTCCTTCCACTGAATAGAGGCAAGACATAGAAGAATTCACTTTCACATAATTGTGTGCGTGCATGTCAAGATTACATCCTCTTGTCATCAGCAGTTTTGAATTAAACTTGTATTGATTTAAATGTGGCAAGTAGTCATTTATTTGATTATAAAAACACACCATTTAAATGGAATAAACAAAAAAGTTTCTAAGTGAAAGAGTTTTCAACATTTATGTTTTGTTTGGTGTGCATGAATAAAGTGAAATGTAAGTAAGAATGAAATGAGAATGAGATTGGAATGCAAGTGAAAATTCTCATTCTATTATTTGGTTTTAAATATGAAATGTGTAAAATGAAATAATAATCATCGTTCTAGTGTTTGGTTGGACTAATTTAAAATTTCGAATGGAATAAATTTCAAATTGAAATATCCAAAATCTCTTAGTAACAAATAAATTAAATTAACAAAATGACGTTTTCTAATAATTTTTTAAAAATAAATGGTGGTAGTGATGGTAGTGGATGGTGTAGATGTGGAAAATGGTAGTGGTGTAGGTGGTGGCAATGGTGGAAGGCGGCGGTGGTGCCGGTGGTGGTGGTGGTGTAAGGTGGTGCCGGTAGTGAAATGTGGTAGTGGTGGTGAAAGGCAGTGGCAGTGGTGGTGGAAGGCAATGGCTATCATGAAAGGTAGTGGTGGTGGAATGTGGTGGCGGTGGTGGAATGTGATGATAGTGGTGGTGGTGGAAGGTGGTGGCAGTGGTGACAGACGATGACAGCGGTGGTAGTAGAAGGTGGTGGTGGTGAAAGGCGGTAGCGGTGGTTGCGGCAAAGGAAGGCGGTGGGGGTTGGGGTGGTGGAAAGAGGTGGGCCATGGTAAAAGTTGGTGGCGGTGGAGGTGGTTGTGGTGGTTTTTGAACTTGATGCATGAGGGGTTTTTTTGGAATTTAATTTTTTTTTAAATTTACTTGGGAATGAAATAGCCATTCCATATATTTAGTTGTGGAATAAATTTTCATTTCTCATTCCAATGGAATGACCATTCCCACTTTAAATTGCATACTAAACAAACAAATGGACATTTCATTCTATTCCTCACACCAAATGTAGAATTAATCTTACAGAATATGTCTAAGAAAATAGAATTTATGTACTAAAAAAACCCTCGTGGAAAAAATTTCAAATATTTTCAAACCAACGTGTGTGATTGTATCTCAACCTTTGAAAAAATTTATGGTAGTTGGTTAAATAGAACAATTTGGCAAAACTAATTTTCCACCAAAAAAGAGGCAATATGATAAGGCTGGTTTCAAACACCTCCACTTTGATGAGGAAAAATTTATCACCCCTACTTTTTCGAAACAGAAATATGAAAGCATAGAAGTATAACAAAGTAACAACTACAAAGTTAAATCTGTCTTTGCATCTTTCCCATCATTCCCTTCCAGAACCCTATGTAAGCCATACAACACCTCGTAAAGGCCTTCGATCATAGCATCAGAAAAAAAATACAGAATGTGGAGCGTACAAATAATAACGATCAAAGTTTGAAAGAGGGTTCTAACAAATTTGAAACATTGAGTTTCTTTTTGGCCAAAGTATGTGCGCCTTTGTTATTATTGAACATTCCATTTACAATAAACTGATACACCAGTACCACCAATGTGTCACAATAATTCCCACTAACTACCATATTATCATGTCATACTATTTTGACGTATATATAAACACGCCAAGATGGTCAAAGACTTCAATTTTTTTGTCAAATACACAAGAAAATAAAGAGATTTGGTTAGGAATTGAGAAAATTGACGAAATTATTTTTGGAAGTCACCGACTTGATTTTGTTGGTTGTTTAAGTTTGGGAATATATCATCTCCACCCATTTCTGCTGCTGATGATGAAAACGATCTGCCAAGGCCAGATCCTGAACCCATGGCTCTCCCCATGTAAAATGAAGTTGGGGGTCCCTTCTCCCTTTCATCTGATCCATCACTTAACCCACCCACAACTCCGACGTCGGCTAAAGACACCTTCTTTGCTGCAAGAGAATTCAAATAAGGCAATAAAAAAAAGATAAATAAGTCAGCAATATCGTACAGATCTACTATCTTAATCAAAGTCGTGTTTTACGAAACAAAGACGTTGTAAACAATTTATATCATGGTTACCAGCAATTGGGTTGACACAAATCATTGGTTTCAACCAGTGGAGAAACCGGTTGAACTGAATTATACTATGTAACATACCATTTCAGTCATCCATAATGAATAATAAATGCTTATGATATGTAAAATTAGCCTAAAAAAGGTTTAACAGTGTATAATGCATATTACATGCACTGTAATGAAAATCTAAAGCTCCGAGTGTCTCTAGATCACACCCATGTCATGTTGGGCTCCTTGTGAGGGTTCAAGTAATTATACCTTCTCTAAAATGTAAAATGTCAAACATGCTGATGGTAGAGTATTTATGTAAGATGAGCAACAATTCAATATATGAGGACAAAGGCATCCTGGGTCACAAGCTGGTGAAGTAATTATGTGACAAGTTCACCAGTATGACCAACTGCTTTAATCCACAGGTCATATTGTACAAAAGACAAACGGCTGGCTCTTTAAAATTAAGTGAAAACTAAACACAACGTTTACCACTTTACATAGCAAGCATCCTTTAAGGACCAGGTTTATTTCCGTCCAGATAGACTAAAGATAGAAGAGACACCATTTCCTTCTAGAGAGACTAAAATGCACACTCCACAACAGGAGTTCTACCGCTAGTGTTGAGATAAACCACATATAAAAAAAGAGATACGTCACACTGTGTTCAACAAAATGCATAAGAGAACAAAGCAGAAGGATAGATAACAAACTTAGAATGGCTTTTACACACACTCAAGCGACATAACACAAGATCTGGAATTTAATCAAAGTGATAACGCCAGTGGGATGGATCAGTATGTGATCACTACTAACAGGTACTATATTTTTAAATATTAGGGTGCATTAATATCTTGAGAATTTGAATTTAGACCTCAAAAAGCAGCAAAACAACCTACTTTATCAAATGTTATGCAAAAGGGTAAAACAGAATACGTGGATTTCAAAATATAAGAAGGCTCAACCATCATCAATTGTTCCCCACTTCGTAAGTCGTAACAAAAATTCCAACATGTTTAATTCACAAGTGATTACAATTAGAGGACAACATTTTTCATGCTTAAAAATCTCAAAGATGTATTTTTAGTCTAATCAGAGACTCATGTGAAGCAAAATAATTTGATTGATGAGAAGGTAAATCAAGTGCAAGTAAGCCTACAGAAAGTAAATTATAGTAACTATTAAGTAAGGGTTAACAACTTACGAGCAGATATATTAAGATCGATCAGCCCCCGGCTTAGAGTATCTGCCCATATGCCAGATTTCACTTGGAATGTATCCTTCTTGGGTGGAGGCTTAGGTTCAGCTGAAGAATTTGCATTCAAGTTGTTATGACCGCCATCAGGATTTTGTGTGGGTTCTGTAGATGATGAATCACTATGAGAAGAAAATACACCAAAAACATCAGATCCATCAAAATTGTTGAGCGAAACAGCAGCAAATGGATCAACAGTATTGGTGTCCATAGCATCAGATTTCGTAGACTTATTCACTGGCTGAGAAATTGGATCAGGAGCAGCAAAAAAATCTACTGATGAAGAAACTGCAGAAGATGAAGCAGGTTGAGAGGCAAATAGATCAATCTTGGCCTGCACAGATGGTCACATACGACGACTTAATTTAAGCGTCAGATTGAAAATCAATAAAGCTTGAATTCATTTAAGGAATGACCGACTGCCCTTAAATTTAACATAACCAACCAAAATATTCATTCCAGTGTTTCAAGAAGACATTCTTCCATAATTTATATTTTGAAATAACCAAGCATGGAGTTCAAGTAAGAAGCATTTGACAGATTTTAATACCTTTAATATCTTTCAAAAAACATAAATAAATACCAAAAATATTTATCCCTTCAACCCCCCCAGACAAAAAAAAAAAAACTATGCATACGCTAGTGCACATGACTCATATATAAAGGGTACATCTTCTAGAAAAGTAAGACAGATTCAAATAAATAGCCCAAATGGGAGGGGAACACTAATAATTAGCCAAAATTTCTCTCTCTCTCTCACACAGAGTCCCCTGAAAGAAAATTCATGTCGAAGTAGTTACTAGTGACATACAATAAAAGATCTCTGATAAATATATATAGTAATCATTGCATTATGTAATAATATAGCAAGCAACTTTTGCTTTAATTTCAAAGATCTTCAAAATGCTGACTACACAATATCTTTACACCTCCAAATAACTCATCAGCCATTAACCAATGATCCTTTTTGTCTTTTTAGGGCGACAGCATCATTAGATCTCAATCCTACTGAAACCAGACCACTAATTGGAGGGTTCTGTGTAGGGGATGGCTAGCTCGTTGTGCAGCTCCGCTGTGGACGCCTAAAAAACTGTAGTTCAAGAATTCAAAAAAAAAAAAAAAGAGAGAAGCTGACCTGAGTCTCAGAATTTCCCCCGGCTTCTACATGGGGTGCTGCTGATACAAAAGCTGCATCAGCAAACAAATCAACCTCTGAAGAATTGTTTTTCATAGTAGACATTTCTGCGGGAACAGAAGCCGGTGCATCCATGAGGTCACCAATCAAACTTTGTTCGAACAGATTCACTTGATTAGAGCTTGCAGCAGCAGTTTCTGTCAGATAGGCATGATAATCCATATTAAATAGAAAAACATAACATAAATTCAGAAGGGCATAGCTCAATATCAACATCAATAATAAGGAAGGTTGGTCTTTTGACCCTTTCGTGGGAGAAATGTGTAATACTCGGAATTTTAATTAGGCTTTAATTTTTATTGTCCTGATACTTTTTTTTAGCTATAATTGGAGACTTTGTTTATATTAATTGGTGTTTTGATGATTGTAGAATTATTTTGGAGACACTTGTTATTTAAATTGGGTGTGCTTGATTATTTATTTGAAGATATGGGGTTCAAGTATGAGTATATAAGTGATGGGATTTTATTTAGGGGACACTTGTATAATTATTAAGTGGAGTTTGGCACGTTGGAAATTTGGAGAAATAGATTTAATGGAATCCATTTGTCTTGGACATGCATAGGGTAGGACACGTTTCTTCATTAAAGCCATACGCTTGTGTACCCATTACCCTATATTTTTATCAATTGGCCTGTATAATATCATTTTTGCATCCTCACACAAACAGACAGAGCGAGAGAAAGAGCTGAATTGAGAGATGAGAAGAGGGGGGGTTCAGCTGAGAGAGAGAGAAAGGAGGATCCATTGCTGATTTTCTTTAAGGAGCAAGAAGATGGAGGAGAAGAAAAGGAAAGGAAGGAACCAAGCTTAGGATCATCCCCACATTTCACCTTCATGTTGTCTAAAGGTAGGGTTTCTCTAATTTGCGTTACTATATGTGATTTTGTTCCCTAATTCATGCTTTATGTTGGAATTATTCTTGTCAAATGTTGTACATGATTTTCCCTAGAATCAGACTTGTTTTCCTTGTCGTCATATGTTGGATTCTTGGTTCCTTTGGGTAGCATGACCTGCTCTTGTTCCAAATTGTCAATTCATACTTGTTCTCACTTTCTTGTTCGGTTTGCTGGAAACGTGCTTCCATATATATATAATTCTGTTGTTGTGTAAACCATGCCTTCTTGAGTATTAAGTCCGGTAGGAACACCTATTAAAGTTATTCCTACTGGGACTCTAGTCTCACCCTACCATTTTTGCAGGTTTCGATGACCATTTGGAGAGAAGTTGTAGTTGCTGAAATTATATAATTGGAGGCCATCTAGTCTTGTTCACCAACTGTTTGATTAAGTGTTTGTATGATCTAATTTTTGAGAAATTTAATATAATTTGAGCACTTGAAGTGCTGTTGTATGTGGATCATTATGGACCTTTAGAGACTTGTGTATGTTTTTAAGGTTTTGTATCATGAATTTGTTGTTTGGAAATAGCAGGGAATTTTGTATTTGCTGGAATTTTGGATTGATTTGGGAATAAGATGGGACTGCGGATTTGTATTTTTATTTTGGCATAGCCTACGGTTTTCTGATCGTGACAAAGTGCTTGCTAACAAACAAGGGAAACGTTCAAAAATGGGACACTATCTGTGATTCATGGGCGGGGATGGGCTTACACACTGCTCTGTCACTCCTCAGTCTTTCCACCAAAAAGAAGAGAAAGAAAGGGAAGTTTCAAATACACCGCAACATCCGGAAAAGAGACAAACCTTACTAATCTGAGAATTCAAAACTCCAAAGTCGCTCTATTTGTTCCTGGCATGATTTACTATGCCACAAGTAACATCAAAACATATTATATGTAGACCACTTCTCCCTGGCAGTGGTTGCAATCGTGGATATTGTTTACCGACCGATGACACTACTTCATACGCTTGCATGACTTATTCTCCCCAAATGTGTAAAAGAACTTGCCTATGAGCTTTCTATTATGGAAATGCAATAAAATTACTAGTTTCTTCAATACTTGATCATTTAGTAACGCTAAGCTTAAGGACACATTTTTTTTCTTTACACTAAGCTTATATTGTTTTAATATAAGAGAAAACACTCAATAAATAAATAAATAATTTGCCCAAGTGTTTGAAACTCACACACCTACTTTACTCATATCGGGATTTGAAAGCTCGACCTTTTACTTTGGAAGGTGAGGAGGTAAAACTAGGCTACAACCCCTGGCTAAGAAGCACGAAAACGGACGTGACACGGGTACGACATGGGGACATGGAAAATCTAAAAAATTAAGACATGGAAATGCGAGGGACACGGTGAATAGTGTATATATATTTAATATATATGTGATTATATTAGCAGAACGGTATTACTTTTCATCAAATTAAGAATAAAAAATTCCATATAACAATAACTAACAAACTAAATGGATGATTCTCTCATTTAAGAAGAGAGAACGGGCTGAAGTATAATTTCTAAACTCCATTTATAAAATTTGTTGTAATCTAAATCCATAGTTAAATAATATATTACAGTTGTATAAAGAATGAAATAAAATAAAAAATAAGAGAGAGAGAGAGAGAGAGAGAGTGGAGAGGGAGGGAGATAGAGATTTTTTTTTTCCTTCTTAGTAATATTTCATTAAAAGCACTCAAAAGGGATCGCATTACAGGCAAAAATACCTATTCCCTCAAGGCTCGTGCTATTCAAAAAATCAACATAATCCACTAAAATGTACAATTGTGCCCTTATACCCAAGAGAGAGAGAGAGAATTGGTTGGAGTAGAATTTCTAAACCCTTTCTAAAGTTGGGGCTTTATTGGAAAAAAAAGAGAGAGAGAGAGAGAGAGAGAGAGAGAGAAGAAAGAAGAAAGAAATAGAGAGAGAGAGAGAGAGAATTCTATCAAGATTAAAAAAAATCAATTAAAGGAAGAAAAATAAATAAATAAGGAAACTAAGGTGTTGCGGGAAAAAAATAAATAAAGTAGCTGTTTGTTGATGATAAAAGAAAGAACGTGTAGAGGAAGAAAGGGATTTGTGATAGGAAAAAGAGGACAAAAAGAAGATAAAGAAAGAGGATTTACTGAAGGAGAAGAAGAACTTTTGCCAGCAATCGAGTTTTGATGACCATTGTAGAAAGTTCAGAGCTTGGCTGCCGAAAGAGAGCAAGATTCTTACCACTTTCTCTTTTTGATCTTTTGCAATTTCAAACAAGTAATAACTATAAACAGATCAAGTAAATACAGTTGCTAGATAAATTACATTAGAACCTTTTATTTTTTATGTTTTGACTTTCATATTCTTGAAATTTTTCAAAAGACTTCCACATATTTCATATTTTAACCAATATTTTTTTCAAAATTGTTTAAAAAATCCTCCTTTAATCAGATGCAGGTGTCCGCGGCATGTCCATCATGTGCCCAAAATAAAAAATATTCGGACACGCTTTTTGACATGTCCGACACTAACAATTCGACCTTTCTTAGGCCCTTCGTAACACTCATAAATTTCCATAAGAGCAAGTATAATGCTTGTTTTACAGAAGATTGTTCATTAAGTTGTAGTTCATAATTCTATCTGAAATTTCACAATTCTAGTAAAGGTGGTGGATTATGGGGTGCTCAAAGAGGCCCGACGCCACCAATTAAAGAAATTTTTTTTGATAGACAATGAATTATTGAGCTTAAGTTAACACTTAACACTAGGCAAATAATTTACTTATGCAATTTTATTTCCTTCAAATTTGACAATATTGTAAACACAGTTGATAAAAATTAGCATTTTCAAGGAATCACTGCAGAAAACAAAAACTGCAAAACGAGATTTATAAATTTGACTTACAGGAGCTCTTGATACAATTTGCTACCACTCACTTTTTTCTCTCTCTTTTTCCTTTTCTTTTTGGAATTTTTTTTTTTTTCCCTTTTCTTTTGTATCATATTTTAGTGGATACCCATTCATTGGTAATGCAATCAGCATAGAGTTGACTAAACATTCAGAGAGATATTCATATGCACTTACTCTTGATTGAGAAGACTTCATATGTAGTCATAGGCTAAGGTTTTCTACTTGTGCAATTTTATTTTCTTCAAATTTGACATTATTGTAAGAAGAGTGGATGAATTTCAGCATTTTCAAGGATTCAACAACAATCAAGCCTTTTTCCCTACTTGGAGTCGGCTACATGAATTCTATGTTTCCATTCCACTCTATTTCAGGCCATAACCTCAGTCAATCCACATGCTATCATATCCTTCCTTACTAACTCTACCCACGTTAACTTAATTGTTCCTCTTCCCCTAGTATTACCCTCAATTTGGACTATGTCACTTTTCCTAACTGGTGTACTTAAAGGTTTTTTGCACAAGTCCAAACCATTTTGACCGATTCTCTCATTTTATCTCCAATTTGTGCTCCTCCAACCATCTTTCGAATGCGATCATGTTTAATTTTATCCTTTCTAGTCTTACCGCACATCCATAGTTGTTAAAAGCTCAAGGTGCACTAATTTGATCCTTTCTTTGCTATCAGGTTTGTTGAAATATATAGAAGATTGAAGAGAGAAATAAAGGTAAAACAAGACAAAAATATACGTGGTTCGGCCACTAGGGCTTACAACCACGGCACACAAAGCCCTAAGGGCTACATCACTTTCGTTATAATCTCTCTTAGTTTTGTTTACAACGACCCACCTCTATTTGTAGGTGAATTGGAAAAGACTTGTAAACAAAGAATAGCAAAGACTTGCTTTATGAGTATTCTTGCTCTACAAGAACATAATCATAAAAGAAAGACTTCAAAGAAAGTCAAACACAAATGTGGCAACAATCAATCAGACCAATTAGGAAAAACATGTTACTCAAGTATAGTAACTTTAACAATATTCAAATTGTATTTTATATTTATCTGAATGGATAAAGCTGATTTTTTAAATTGAAAAAACCAATTTTTGTGGAATATAATGTTCAAACAATCTAAGCTTTTGATCGATCACTTTTGTTCGAGTTCAATCAATACCCTGTTGATGGATTGATTGATCCTTGCAGATGGTAGTTTCCAATTTAGATTTAAACACTAAAAACTCTAATTTCTTTGTTCATAAAATCAATATAAGCAGCCTTAGGGTCATATAACACGTCTTAAGCTATCTAAGCATATATGCAAGCTAGGGCAATCTGTTGTGTTCACCATCATTGCATATAGAAGGTGAGTAAAATGGTAAGTTATTGGAGTGTTGATCAAATCTGTTCAAGAGCTTCATAGGAGAACTAGCAGATCGCATGAGAAGTGGATTCATTGATCGACAACACCAGAAATCGGGTAGAGTATCTAGCATGAGTATGGATCAAAAGGTAATTTGGGTATTTTTAGGGTAAGAATTTGAGATATATAGTTGTAACCTTTTCCTTCATGGTGATTGGTTTCTAGACTGTCGTTATTTTGAATTCTGCACTATCTTTGTCTAAATTGTCGTGATTGGTTGCTAATTAAATTTCCATTAAGGTAGTCAAAGTTTTTTTCAACAGACCTATTCAACTCCCTCCCAATCCTTCTCTCATTCTAGTTTGAGTAGGATCATTGACTTCTTCAGTGTGTCCAAGACAATTTTTCAACAGCATCTGATTTACACGAGTCAGATGTACAGTTACTTTTTCTTGTTAAAGAAGTTATAAACAAACATGCTTGAACAGGCATTAGTTTTACTGATTGTAGGCACAACATTTGCCAAACAAATATTGCAGCTATGAACAACACAGTGATTCTTTTGAGTTGCATGAAGAAAACTTACTGGAACTGGAGGTTCCCCGAGGATCAAAATCATCAAAATCATCCTCATACTTATTTGGAGCGCTTAAGCTTTGTGAAGCAAATGATACATACTTATCAGAGTTGTTACTCTTTGTTGCTGGCTTTGATTCACCAGATGCCGAAGTATCTTTAACTTTGCTGTAGAACATTCATTCTCAAGATTAGCACAAAGAAAAATGGAAAAAGTAACAGAAGCAAAGCAACATGCAATAATTAAAGATACACAAAGGCACTTCAGCAACTGTCTCTGCTACAGATAATCAATCAACCATTAGTAATATTGCTAAATATCATCAACCAAAGGTCGCCTAGACTGGCTGAACAGCATACAAATTCAAAAAACATATCCACACTGATAAGAACAAATTTACACCTCCATGAAGTTAAAGATCTTGGCAAGCCAAGGCAGAGAGTGTGGACAAATGTAACAACCATAAAAACAAAATTAATATGTTCCCATTTCTCCACATCAACTAATATCATCCGCTTATCCAAGTCAAAATATATTACCCAAATATAACATGCTTGTTCTTTCCATAGTCATTGGCCCTTTAGAAGATCAGAAAATGGCAGAGGTGCAAGATTTCAAGCACAAGCAAAGACACAAATCCTATTTAGAAATGACATTTTTTATAGAAACAAGAAGAAGATACAACACATCATTCACAACAGATATGAAGCTTCTGGCTACAAGATACAACATATATTCCTTCCCTGACTAAATGAAATTATGAACTCACTTTGGTATTTTAAAAATTAGTAATATGAATCGTGCAGATTGAAGTGAGCAAAGACAGTACTATCACAAACCTTTCATAGCGGGTAGACCCTCTCTTCGAGTTCTGCTGGTTCTCACTTGTAACACCTCGACGTGACTTAGCATAAGTATTCTGGTCAAACCTATCTTCACCGAATTGACCCTTGTCTCTATTACTACCCTTGAAAGTATTGCCATCTCTTGTACCACCATATCGATCACTACCCTGTAAACTGCTGCTACCAAATGAGGCTGAACCTGACTTATATGCTACTCCAGATGATGAAAGTCCAAAATACCTGGCATGTACAAATATCACTACCTGAATGAATCCCACAACAAAATTCTACAGTGTTGAAGTAAACAAGTATGGCCTGATTTCCTGAAGCACATAATTAAAGCATACATAGTCTGAGTTCTTGAAGCATATACTTACTTGTCACGGTTTGCAGCAGCTTTATTTCTTACTTCTTGTATCTTATCTTTATCATTTAAAAGAGCCACAATGGTTTCTGCCTTCTTCCTCACATTGATTCCCATATCCTTCCCACTTGGCTCAACATATTCAAAATTTGAAAGTGACTTCACGAAAACCCAAAAACAAAGAAAGAGGGGGGAGGGGGGGAAGAAGAAGAAGAGGGCGGAAATGTTAGAGAATCATTTAATCTCATATGATCGTTGTGGATAACTGGATGGGAAAATCCATTAAAAGTCTAAAACACATACCGCAATCTGGAATGTATGTTCTATTATGTCATCAACTGCACGATCAGATCCATTTGCCACCAAATATTCTATAACAGTCAATGCCTGGCACAAATCATTTCAAAATTTTAAGAAACACAAAGCCAAAAGACAACACAGACTAGAAAAAATTAGGAAGAGATGGAAGGTTCTTTATGAAATATCTTCTTATTTTTATCTTTTATCTTCTTCTTTTATCTTTTTTTTTTGATAAGTAGTTCTTTATGAACTATCAGACCATAAAGGATTAATAATGTGGGAATAACGACAGTTTTACCTTGTAGACATAACGCCAGTTCCGGTCAGTTTCACTCAATCTTGTCCAGAGAACATTCATCACCATCTGGCATTCAGTGCTGGAAGATATCTCAATAGATCAGCTATGTGAGAAAGAAACAAATAATTTTAATTTGAACCAAATTATACCCATATACTAATGAGAGGACTAAGATTGTCACATCAATGGAGTAAATCCAAAAATTAGAACATACAATTTTTTTGTGGCCTGTGCTATCTCTGCCAAAGCAGAACCATGAGGACCCCAAGGTTCATCATCCGTTGCATCCAGTACCTGTACTAATGTTAAAAGGCTATGAAAACAGCAATATCACAACTCAAAGGTTTCAAAATAGTTTATCAGTGCCCAGTTGTTCATACAATCCACAAAACACAAGTTTTGATCATCATCTCATGCCCAAAGCCCTAAGCACAGCAACTAAGGGGCAAAAACCCATCACATCCTATGTCTTAATTTTACTACTTTCGCTTCCATATTTAAGTAGAAGGAATAAGTCTGGAATGATCCACCCAGACTGCCAATACAAAACGAAAGCTATGTGCAAAAAGAGAGATGTGCATATAATATTTAAACATAGAATAAGTATCCAGATAAAACTATGGTGCCAAAAATAAAAATAAAAATTAACTATAAAGGAAACAGAAAAATCTAAGCCAAAGTCCACATAATATTCAACTTTAAGATTTGATTTCAGAACAGACTTGCAATTGTGGATGGCAAAGTATAAAGCTTGTACCACACCATGAATTATAAAAACTGATACTTTATGGAACACATAGTTTTGGTCACTGCAACCCCTGATGCTTCAGCTGCTATAAGTCAAGTATCAATTATGACCAATATATGTAATTAGTTGGACAGGGTTGTGACCGTAGCGCAAAACCTCAGAAGTTCAGTGTTATTCATAGAAAACCCGCAGGATAACTAAGCTGTTTCAAGAACCCTACAAACATGGATCCTGATTCAACCCAACTCCGGGTCACCTGTCCCTAAACCATTACCAATCCTTATCCCAAAGGTTGCAGTAATGAACTTCTTTGTATGGACTACGGAGTACTGAATCTTAATTGATAAAAATCCCGAATAATATTTTCCTTAAAAAGGAACAAAGAACAATAGAATATGACTGCAGATACAAAGAGGTATGAGAGCAAATGAATATGTTTAGAACTATGGTGAAAACAACTTCCCTGTGTTCAACTAACTGGTACAGACAAGACATCCAGGAAGACCTTGATTCTGGCTTGTATTTTTAGATAAAAAATAATAATAATAGATGGTAACTAATTCTCCCTTGTCCTTACACAGTTAAAGCTTTTTTTTACGGAAATATCAAATCGACTGTCGAGAAGGGGGTCAAGATATATACAGTCTTGACCATCATGATTTTGGATAACTCCATGGAGACGGATACAGAAATGGATATTGGCTGCCAATTTTCAACTTGGCCAACCTATTCTCAAGTTTACCTAATGAGAATATATGATATACTTGCTAAAGGAACTAATGCTTAAATGTATAACATAAGATTATTTCTTGTTACCTGCCCAAAAATTATTCAGCTCTTGACAAATACTCTGGAGATACTGATCACAGACATTATAAAATAGTCAACAAGTTGAAAGTTACATGTTCTACTTAATGGGCAAAATCATCATATCAGATAAATATTCAATATACTAGTCCCGTCATCTAAATGCCATAAATGATTTTTTTTTTTTTTTTTTTTTTTTGCGGTCATTTGTCATTTCTTTCAATTATTAATCCATTAGTACAGAATGTTTCATTCTAGAAAACCAAAAAAAAAAAACAGTTCCATTGTGCATTACTAGTACAAATTTATATATCTTCACAATTATTGATCAAAATCATTCGTATATTGAAACAATTTTCCTTGGATACCCATCAATTGTGGAAATGATCAATGTGTAATTTAAAAATAGAATAAAATTATCAATCTCAAATTAGTGGAATCTAATGAGTTGGCATTATCTACTTTACGCGTAAATCCAAACCAAAACCCATTCGCCGCTTTACATGATCATTGAAAATACAATTTCTTTTCAATTTGCATGTAAGCCAAAATTGTGATGCTTTCTCGTATAATGACCAATACGCAACATGTGCATACAAAGAACCAAGTGAATAACATACATATGTAAATATGATTATATTCTCAAATACTATCGTATAAAACTCAAATTTTCAAAAAAAAAATTACCTTCTGTTCGATTTCGGGAACCTTCAGAACTTTCAAATTCACCTCCCTTTTACTGCAATCCCAATATATATACATATAAATTTATATACGTATATGGTTGAAACGTGACCAACAAAAATGAATTTAGTCCAAAGAATTCCTAAAACAAATAAGAGAAGCTCACATTTCGCGGACTGTTTGATCGAGGACCTTCATGAAATCCATTGTATCTGCAATAACAACGAAAAGTAATAGATTAAAACAAAAAAAAAAAAATTTAAATTCTGTATTAAATTTGCGATTGGAGAGAGAAATCTACCCAAATTGCAATGCCCTTTGAGTAGATGGCTCTCGTTGTTTGCTGGAAGGAGAGAGAGAATTGGATGGTTTTTGTTCTTTTAAGATGAAAAAATGAAAATTGATGATTTAAATATGAATGGAACTTCCTTTTTATACATTTTTGTAATTTTAAGTGTATAACCTAATAAGTTCTTATGTATTTTTTACTTAAATAAAATAGGACTTAAATGTGTATAATCATTCGAAATGACAAATAAATAAATATATATTTCTTCTTTCTACAATTTTTTCAATATAAAGTACCTTAAATAATTTATTATTTATATTTATCATATACACTTTTTCTTAAATATATTTGTATATAGATGTGGATTGACAATAATAAGCTTCATAAATATGCATATATGCCTATGTATTTCATAATAAAATATCAATTGAAAGTAGAAATAGGACATTCTAGCTATTTATTTTATTATTATTATTTTTTAATTTTCCTTTCTTTTCCTAAAGTTGCACTAACCTCCCCTTAGTTGGGTAAAAATACAACTTGTTCATTTCTTTTGATTCACAACTACAATTACGTTAATAACAAAAGCACCCTCTTATCAGTTTTGGCAGTGATTAAGTCATGAAAATGTAAATTTAAAGAGTTCGAATTCTTTGCAATATAGTGTAAGATATTTTTTTATATTTGTGGCCCACATGATTTGGACTCGTGATTTACTTCTATTATTTGATGGTTAAATAAAATAGATATCGAATTAATATTATATTATTTGGTCAACTTATAAATTACCTTTTTGGTAATTAATTGTTGGAGAAGTGTTTTCCTATTTATTCCTTACTTTGATGGAAAGTAAAATTAAGGTTACTAAAAAGGAAAATTGGTCATCTCTCTACCTTTATAAAAATACGTATCCCCATCCATTATGTATGCTAATGAAATAACATGTATACACTTTGACTATTGCAGTTTAGTATGTTGTTCGTTCCGCATAAAAGATCTCTGCCTTGATCTGTTCGAGTTTTATAATTACCGATCGAGGTATTTATATCTAACTATTTATTTATGCATTATAGATATGTGAAAATCATAAAGTTCTAAGACATGGGATTAATGTAAATTTGTGATTAATGCTTCACATGAATTATTATAGTTTACATGGGGTCTCAGAGCTGATGTTTAGGAACTCATTATTTTCCTTTAAAGTCGCATAAATAAAAGTAAAATTAAATTATTATATGATACATATGTATGTATCCGAATATGCTGATGTAGTTGATTCCTTTAATAAAGCTTTGTCCACCATTGATTGACTGATATGCTTTTACATCTTTTATGTAAATTATTGTACATGAATTTAGTTTTGATTAGTGCCTCAATTTCCGTACATGATATGAATTGAAAAGTGTTTATTTTGTTTGTTACTTTTTTAATGAAGCCAATCTCTATATCAATTACAGTTTGATGATTACACAGATTATATTTTATTAATTATTTGAAAATTCAATAAATTATTGATTACACAAAAAACGTATATTTATTTATTTTGTTAAAAATTTAAATTTCTAGAATAATGTGTTAGTTTATAAATTTAATTTAACTTTAATGGACATGCAAATAATAAATAATTATTTTGTACCCATTCATACATACATGATGGAGAATCAATTTTAAATTGATTCAATTATGATCTTAAAATCTGAAAATAAAAATAATATATTTTATTATGTATATAAAATAAAAAGATATTTTTATTGAATTTTTGGACTATTAAATTTCTGTGATCGAATCTATATATCTAAACTTGGATCGATCAGCATAAGTATGTGTGTTTAATGTTAAATGGGTAACTTAATGATGAATATGTCACTAGATAATTTTATATTCATATTATGTGAAGGTTGATAGCTACCAAAGTGGTCTAACTATGATGATTGATGAATATTAATTACAATAATAAACATAATTAATGATGAATTAATCAATATTAATTTTTATAATAGATATAATTAATCATAAATTTGTTATTAGCTAATTTAATATTCATATTATGTAAAGGTTGGTAGCTACCAAAGTGGTCTGATCATAATGGTTGATGAATATTAATTTTAGTAGTAAACATAATTGCAATATTTCATGAATTATGATGCTTATAATTTTTTTGTAATATTCATGAATATTGAGTTTATTTGACCATGAGAAATAATTCTCCAAAGGGAATTGATTTTCAAATGATTAAATACAAATTAAAGGGTTGTGTGTATTTTTTTAATTAGGTAAATATATGATATCCAAATGTAACTTATTTGTTTAATTAAATAATGCATCACCAATGAAGGTATACATATAAATATTTGTAAGCGTCATTATTAATATTTTATAGTTGTCACCCAAAGGGGTACTATAGTTATACATTGTATTTATATTTTCAGTTATCTATACGTGTTATTAACTTAAAGTATTATTGTTGTGAACATTTTTTCTTATTGTGTTTGTTTAATTACATCCCTTAATTTGCATGCTACATCTGTTCTGCTTCTCAATAGGACTAAATTCTCATAATGGAATAAATAAGTTAAGTTCAAAATTTATGAGAGATCGAACAGATTAAGCATTATGGTTATGCGAATAATTGTTCCCCATAGTGATAGTGCTAAGAAATATTTGACTAAAAGAATATTTTCGTATTGTAGATAAATATCTAAAACGAAAATTATTGATTGATATCATTACTATGCATTTTTTGTTGGTTCTCGTACCATGTATGAACATAATTATGAAATGACTAATGTTGCTACAAAATTAAGAACCTTAGGAATGATTGTGAATGAGAATTTTCTTATTCAATTTATTCTCAATTTCTTATCTACTCAGTATGGGTCATTTCAAATTAACACTATTAAAACAAGTGGAAAGTGAATGAATTGACCATTATGTTAATTTAGGAAGGGACAAGGTTTAAGCAGTAAGGTAATCATTATGTTCATCTAATGACTCAAAAGGTTAGAAAGAAATTTGGAAAAAAACCTGAAAAGACATTAAGTGAACAACATCCGAAATTAAAAGATTTAGGTCAATCTACTAAAAAAAAGGAATGTAATAACGTAAAAGTGTCATTTATGTATTGAACACTTTTAGAAATATTACATGAAACATAAAGAATGATTCAAAAAAAAAAAAAGTCTTTTAACTTTTGTATATTTCGAATCACTTATTGATATTCCTTTCTAATACATAATAGGTTGACTTAAGTACTAATGTTTATATTTTTAATAGATGTAAGAATTTCTTATATCCTAAACCACAAATTCAAATGTGAATTTCTTATTTATGAGAATTGGGAAAAAGTTTTGTTGAAACCATTTTAAAACCATTGAGACTTTTTGTTTAGTCTTAGATAATGGATTTTATTTAAATTGTTTTAAACTATTTATATTTCTTCAATTTCTCTCAATTTGATTTTATTTCAAAATTTTATGTTAATGATTTTTCCTTTAAGTTTGATAATGATGTTTATTCAAGAAATTCTAATTTGTGAGTTATGGTATTATTGTTGATGATTTTTGTAAGTTCAAACTTGATAGTTTATTTATTAAAACCCTTTTGACCTTGAATTATAATGTTATAATTAAGTGTAGCTCAATTAATAAAAATTCATTTATCTTGTAGCATAAAAGACTGGACAATATTCAGTGAAAGGTTAGGAAAATTAGTAAACGACGTGATTCTTCTGAATCAAAACTTTACTGATTTTGGTGTGTGTGTAGATTGTATTAAAAGTAAACAAACTAAACACACAAAGAAATGAGCCACAATAAGTATAGGGCTTCTTGAAATTATTTATACAGACATTTGTAAACCTTCTGATATTCCATCTTTTGGTGGAGAAAAATATTTTATTACCTTTATAGTTAATTTTTCACGCTATGAATATATCTATTTGTTGCATGAAAAATCTCAAGCATTGGGTACTCTTGAAGTATACATAAATGAGGTTGAAAAATAACTAGATAGAAAAGTGAAAATTATAAGGTCATATAGAAGTGGTGAATATTATGGAAAGTATGATGAAACGGGTTAATATTCTAACCGTTTGCTAAACTCCTTGAGATATATGGCATTTGTGCTCAATACACTTTGCTATACATGCCACAGTAGAAGCGTATAACTGTAAGGCGTAATTATACTCTTATGGAATTGGTTAGGAGTATGCTAAGTAATTCCTATTATCCATAATGTTGTGGATGTTAAGTAATCTAAAGGGTACAAGTTTTACTATCCTAAACATAGTACGATAATTATTGAAACCGGTAATGTCAAATTCATTGAGAATGGTGAATTCAGTGGGAGTGATAAAAATAAGAATGTGATATCATTCAAGAAGTTCGAGTACAAATTCATTTGCCCATAACTTATAAGGAAATAATTGTTTATTCAATTGTTGAACCGTATAATAACGAAGAACAATTGAATGATCAACAACTCCATGATGAGATTGTCACCAATGAATAGATTGTAGAAGAACCACAGAGGAATAACATTAAGAAGATCTCAAAGAGAAAGAAGACCTGCTATTCTGGATGACTATGTGATATATCTGCAAGAATCTGATTTTGATAGTGAGATATATAAGGATTTGGTTACATATTCACAAGCTATTGACAATAATGATTGATTTTACTAAATGGATTAGTGTCATGAATGAAGAGATTATAAAGAAAACTTCTCTATAGTATTTAAGAATGATTCTCTTAAATTATCATGGCATTAGTAACTTATTATAATTTAGAGTTACATTAAATGGACGTGAATATAATTTTTATGAATGGGAGTTTAGAAGAAGAAGTCAATATGGAACAACCTGAAGGCTTCATATTAGAGGGTAAAGAATATATGGTCTATAAACTTAAGATGTCAATATATGAACTCAAACAAGTTTCCTGACAATGATATTTTAAGTTCAATGATGCCATTATTTCTTTTGGTTTTAAGAAAAACAATGTTGATCAGTGTATATACTAGAATATTAGTGGGAGTAAGTTTATATTTCTGATTGTATATATTGATGATATTTTATTTGCTAATAATGATTTAAGTTTATTATATAAAACTAAAAGTTATCT